CTCAACCTCCCACACAACAGTCCAGCGCTCTATCCATTGAGCTAACCGGGAGGCCGGTTTTAAAAAGGTTTGTGTCCCTGGAAGTAACTTCAATTGATGTAATACTTCATTAATATTTCTATTAAAATGCCACTTGTTATAAGTAACCTTTAAGCACCATCCAAATTTACAACCGGCTAAATTCAAGTGACTGAAACTTGCCCGTTTAGGATCAGAATTTAACTGCTCATAGTCAAAAGAAGACAATGAAATTTTTTTTTTTAAGTTGTGTTAATTTTCTCCATGTAAACCAGTGCTTAAGAAATGCACCAATTTGCATTATTTTTATTTGTGTGTATGTCAACTTATTGGAGTTACAAGACTGGTATATATGAAGTGTCATGAGTTCTTTAGTACAGTCAATAGTTGTGAACATTGTAGTATTAATATATACAGTCAAACCTGTATTAATTAAGTGGTCACCTATAGGGAATTGTGGGGTCGTGAATTAATTAATACAGGTTTCACAGATTAGGGGTATTATAAAAAAACGATATACAATGGCACAATTGTATATCACAATTGTATACCATAATTGACCACTTAATTACAGATTCTACCTAAAAATACTACTTATTTTGATTTTTGGAGAGAAGCATGGATGAAAATTACTTTAATTAAAGGTTATTCTTAGTTTTATAGGAGTGGTTCTGTGTCAAGTGACCATTAAATACAGGTGGAAAACAATACAAATAAGCCGTTGGAACTCAGTTTTAAGGGTGACTGCAACCTCTTACTAGTGGTGACCGCTTAATAGAGGAGAAGATTACTGACAGTGATTCAGAGGAAACAAATTAATCAGGACTCTGACAACTGACCCCTACATATAGAGGATGACCACTTATTATTACTGATACAGGGCTGCTTATATTGTGCAATATAATTTCATCATTTACAGTTAACCACATACTATACCTCCTACGATGACTTTAACTTGATGAAGAGTATTAATTGGAAGTTTTGAAGTATTACTGAACATTCCACAAACAAAAATACCAGCATCACCAAACTGAATGTGATTTTTCCTCAGTTGTAAGGTATTGTTATCAATCTTGCAGGTGAAATAGCTTGGTATCCATGTATTGTTGTGCTGCCATGCTAAGAAGTGCTCTGATGAAGTCTTCTCCAATGTCGTATTGACAGTACAGTTCAGCTCAAGAGCATTGCTCTTGGCAATGTAAATTACATTTTGGAAATCATTCAAGTGAAAGGAAGGTGCATCTGCAACAAATTCAAAAGTAAGCCATATATGGTGCAAGTTGTACACACCATTAAGGTCATCCTCTTTTTTTTTTCCCTCCATTTAGTGTTGTTTGATTGACCCAAATTTTTAGCATTTCCCCCCAAAAAAACGTAGCGATGTAATTAAACCATTTTTCACTTAAACTAATTCTTTTAATCTGAAAAAATGAGCATAGTAACAGCATAGGAAAAAAAAAACAGGATCAAAATAGGGAATTTTTTTACAGTATATTGTGCATTTTGTTAACCCAAATAATGTTGGGGTACCATGCCTCCTATTCACAGACTTCTTGTGATTTTTTTATTTTTGTTTTTGTTTTTTCAATCTGACCAACCAACCCAACAGCAGGAAAGGTATTTGATGCTAGACAAAAAAAAGGGGGGGGGGGAAGCCTAATGAAGCTTAGAAATTAATAATTTTCTGGTCATACTATGGAACTTTGATACAGTACAGTCATTAATTTCTAGAAATTCTAATAATTGGATCAAGATGAGCTAAATCAAAGAATTGTGTACTGAAATTTATTGATAATACTTATACAGTTATTGTGCCAAAATTTCCTTGAGGACTAAATATAATACCCAATTAATAAATTATTGAATCTAGTCTCCTTGTTCTTTTAGAAGGTTATTTGGTTATATCAACTAAGTTGAAATTGTAAATTGGCCACCGTAACGAGTTAAAAAGCTGACATTTCGAACGTTAGCCCTTCGTCAGAGCGGTTAGTCCTTACATTTCAATACAGCTGAGGATCATGTGCTTTCCAGACCAACTATAGCGACCACTGATCCCTTCTGAGAAAGCTAGTTATTAATTACTATTTTAAATTCCTAGATTAAAAAACACTTTTGGATGCAACCCTGCAGTCTTCATATTTCAACTTTACTGGGATACATTTCCTCTTCAAACAGAAAAGCAAGCAAAGTGATCCTATCTCGCAAGGCCGCTGAAGAGGTTTAAAAAAGGTAACTTAATTCATCTGAAGGTGTTAGTCACAGATTAACCTTTTTCGCTTGTGGGCGCTGGCGGGATTCGACTTCTGTACAATCGATCGCATGATTCGCGAATGATCCGGAAGACGGAAAATGACACGTTCGAAAACATAACTACGATAAAAACAACTCTAAGAGTTGGGGATAGCACATATAAAATAAAATGAAAGCAAAAGCAATTCACATGTATCGGCATGCGATTGAAAATCGTTTTTCTAAATCGAAGCTAGCCAATTTAATTTATACCTAAATTAAAGTTGATCAAACGAACATGCAGACGTCAGGTTTTTTTTTCTCGCAGAAGAATTTTTTACGACTGCAGACAACTAGTCATTAATTTTTCCGGGGAAAAACTCGATTATTATAGGAAATCGCTCATGAACTGAACTGCTCATTTGATTAGATTCTGTATAGGCATCGTATCACACAAAGTTCGAGCGTTCACGAAAATCATTTCCGCGTGCGTGATGGAAACACGGCTTCCAAACAAACACTGCTGACTTACCTCCTTCCTTTGTCTCTAAACAGTTTACATTTCGAATTGCTCCAATAAGTAAGCACAAAAAAACGCCTGCAGGGACTCTCATTAGCATATTCTGCTCACAAAAGGAGCCACCTTCCACTAACTTTTCTCCGCCATGTTTGTACAATACTAGAACCAATCGGAGCAAAGATGTTTCGTAGAAAACGAAACTTCCGGTTTACCAAGAAAGTTGAGTAGAGCATGTAAAATCTGCGTATTTAGCCGTTTTGAGTAGATACACTGGCATGACTACCTTCCTTGGAACTGCTCATTTGATAACCTTTATACTGTTCATAAATTGTGCGCAAGGTAAGCTCTCTAAATACTAAGACAGGCAGAGTGATACACATACATGAACATTGTACTGCCGAGGTGAGCTCGTGAGTTTTCGCATTTACCACGAGATCGCATTGTGGATGTTATCAGATTACAGTGCTTAAATTTCATTCATAGTCTAAAGGTCAGTTCTTCTAATATTGCTTTTTTTTCTCGTACACTTCACGTACACGGCAAGTGTAGTGATAGCGAAAACAAACCGCTCGGCGTTAACATGTTTGTTGAATTTGGTTACTCTATTACTTAGCAAGTTCCGAAACCTTCATTAGTATAATTTCGCTTTCGATTGATGAATTCCTTTGAGTGCGGAAGTCGTTTCGATTCAAGGTGATTTTAGTTGAATGGTTTTTAGTGTATTGGTTATATTGTTCTTAGGTCATCTTGAAGTGAATTCGTACAAACAGCGTTCGATTTGGAACATTTGTGTGATTTCGCTTTCGATTGATTGACTTCGAGTGCGGAAGTCGTTTTGATTCAAGGTGATTTTAGTTGTATGGTTGTTAGTGTATTGGTTATATTGTTCTTAGGTCGTACTGAAGTGAACTCGTACAAAAGGCGTTCGATCTGAAACAAAGCTGTACAACAACTGAAGTCGCTTTTAATAGTGTATTTGCAATTGCTCTAACTTGCACTTTACAGCGTGAAATTAAAGAGTTATAATTTTCTCATGAATAGAAGACAGCGGTGAATCTTGATCTGCATGTGCATTTTACTAATAACGAACCTGCACATCTTTCCATTATGATATACATGTAAAAACTTACAAGAAATTATCACATGAAAAAAATGTTGTTTTTCTTAAACATGCACAACTTTCTGTGATATTGCATTCCTTACGTTTAATTTATACATGCCCTTGTTTTTCAAATCTGACGAAACACCATGCATGAGTTAATTAAGCAAAACTAGGTCCTTCATATCTGTCTTTCTCTGCGGAGTAAACAATTCTTCACTACCCTATTTAACAAATCAGGTTAGTAAACAAGTTAAGCAACATGTGGGAAAAAAAACTTCACATGATGAGAACTGACGACAGTGCTGTGAATAAATTGATGCATTTTAATTGGGTTGATCTGCTCAATAATTCTTGGTTAAATCTTTCTCATTTTTCTAGCTTCTGGGACTATATTTTTCCCCAATTCTGTGAACAACCAATGTATAGACAACCTTACTGTAATATTTACTGATAGCTTGGATGGCTAGTTTTGATTTTTATAATTTTCAATCTGGCTGTTTTGTCAGAAATGCAAATGTGCTCATGAAAATAATTATACTTGAAATTGAAATTGGCTCTGTTCAGAACTCTATGGTCAGTGCATCCTCTGCAAAAGGCAATTGAGTATTTCAAAAGGTAATTGACTTAATTTTGGCCAAACAGTAATTTTTTCATCAATCCAGTGTTAATATATAAGTAAGAACTGAATGATTAAATCTAGCACTTTCAAGTCCTCTTCTTTCCCCCCCCTCCCCCTCAGGGGTGTAATCAGGATTTTCAAAGGGGCAGGTCAGTGTGTTAATTAAACAAAAGTATACTCACCAGATTGTCATGTCAACCTCCATGCTGTGTTTTTACTCAATTAATGTGACAAAAAAGGCTCACAAAAGGGGGGGTCACAGGCACCTCAGGATCCCCTAGCTATGCCCTTACTCCCCTACATTTGTTGTACATTTTAAGCCTGGTGCTTTGATTTACAAATATAAGATATCATTAACAACTATTCACCGAAGTGGAGATGGTTAGTGATGGATATTTACCGAGCCATGAAGCGGCAAGATAAATATCCACCGCTAACCACCGACACTGAGGTGAATAGTTGTTTTAGTATATACTAAAACAGTGAGGTAATATATATACACCACCATCATTAATTTGAGTGATTTCGCTTGTCATAGATGCAAACCGGGACGCCATTTTTTCCCGAGTTGCTCTGAGGTAAATAGCAAAGGATATTCGGAGTTTGACGAGCCAATCAGAGCGTGCCTTCAGCGCTATCCACAGTTAATTGTTTTAGTATATACTAAACATTATTAGTCATCAGAAATCCTTTTATTGATATTGAATGTACAATCTTAGTTTAAAATGACATTATTTATTGCTCATACACATCCCTGACTGGTCCTCAATGACTAATTTTTTATCACTTAATTGACTTTTCAGGAAACTTCACTGTTCCCGTACCTCGGAAACCAGTGCTTTATGCCTATGGTTGGCCAAATGCTAATAAAGTGATAGCTTCTGTGAAAACCATAAGCATAGAAGGAATAGTCAGCTATGACTTGTTTTTGGAAGTTGGTTATTGTCCGGATGATTCATTCAACCCCAGTGGGAAGTGTTCTTCAAATGTCACAGGTTTTACTCCAGTTGACAAATGCCATCATGTAGAAAATGACTCAAGTTCATCGACTGGAAAGGTTCTTCAGTGCACTGTTTGTAACAACTCCAAAAAGTGTGAATCGTGGGGTTTGTTTTCAAGGAATAAAGTCATCTGCGCATACTTAGAGGTGACCACTCTAAATGGCACTGTCTGTTCTTCTTGTTCTTGCAGAGCCTATAGTGATATTCGTGAGTACACTGGTTTTCTTTCTTTGCTCAACCTAATATACCATATTTCCTCAAATAAGCTCCCATGCCCCAGTATTAGCACTCTTCCTTAAAAGATTTCCCATCCCCTGGGCCATGATATAAATGAGCCTATTGGAATAAGTGTTGCCCCCCTTCCCTAAACCCTCACTTTTTTAAATAGTAGGGATCCAAGGAAAACCAGTTTCTATTGTCACTTGTAAGTTATTTATAACCTAATGTTAAGCTTTTATTACAACAGAATCAGTACCGGAGCTAGTATTGGAGGAAATTATTGCTATTCTAGCTCCTATAAATTGAAACAGTCAGCTTCATAGTTGAATAAATGAATGAAAATGAATGAAAAACTTCATTTAAGTGTCTATGTTTTTACCTATAATAAGCTAATAAGGGATACCAAAAAATTTAAAAGTCAAATACATTTACGTAATTATGTAGATAATAGTTATTTACAGTAGATAATTAAAAAGGTTATAAAGTTATTTAAGTTTTAAATTTCAACAAGAGTTGAAAGGTCGACTTTTCTTATGTTCTTCTTGAATGAATTTAGAGTTTCTATCATTCTTAGGTGTCTTGGTAACTTTGTCCAAATGAGAGGTCCCATATATTTAATAGAATTCCTACCAAATCTTACAGTTTCGAATCTTTGCAGTTCAAAGTCACTGTTCCGTAAGGTATACTGAGTGTTCTTATAAATAAGTCAGAAATATTCTCAGGTACGAGACTGTGCTTAACTTTAAACATCAAAGTGGCAATGTCTTATAGGCGCTGATTGTACAACGTCGGTAGTTTGGTGCGACTTAGCAGTTCTTGATAGGATGCTGATCTAGTTTTGTACACCGCCCTAAGTGCTCGCTCTTGAATCCGTTCAAGCTTTCTCTGATCCGATGCATTACAAAAGTGCCATACTAGATGACAGTAGGTTAGATGGGGCAGAATTGAAGACCTGTAAAGTGATAGTTTAGCATTACAGGGTATCAAATTACATAGCCACACTAGCTAGGACCCTTACTTTTTGACTGGCCTTAGAGCATAGATTACTGATATGACTAGTAAAACTCAATTTTTCATCGATTTAAACTCCTAAAAGCTGTATTTCCCCCATTCTCTCAATAGTATGACTGTCAACAGAAAAATTTTGATTATCGTTGTCTTTGTCGACAGTTCTCGGGTTGATTGTTAGTAGCTGGAACTTTTCTGGGTTGATAGAGAGATAATTGTTCTTTGCCAGGATAGAGCTTTCTCTCAATGGATCTTGATACTTTGTGCGACAACGTCATGCTTCTTCCCCATGACATACATCTGATGGTCGTCGGCATACATGCTCAAATTAGCATTATTTATATGGAATGACATATCATTTTAAAACAAATTCCACAGAAGGGGGTCAAAGGAAGAGCCTTGCAGGCAGCCAAGCACTATTCTTTTCCAGTCACTTGTCACTCCTTTTACTTTCACTCTATTGAGCCTATTTTCAAAGTATGATCTGAGAAGGTTGAGAGAATTTTGTCCAATGCCATAGGCCTGGAGTTTCTTTACGATTAGAGAATAGCTAAGAGAGTTTGAAAATTAATATGCATGCACAACCAGTGTATTACAGTACAACTTAAATCATGATTGTTTTCTGCTATTTATTTCAATCATAACATTCTTTTAAGTAAAGAATTCTTCATCACAATGTCAAATTAACCCTCTTTATTAAGAGAGTCATTTGATAAGGCTACTGCATGAAACCTCTTGAATTATTCTTGTTGGAGGAGAGTGGTGGCCCAATTCTGGATTCAAACTTGAAGGGCTGTGTTTGAGCCCTAGCTTAATCAGTTTTCTATAAGTCCCATTCTTGATAAAACATTAGATGCTGTGCAAAATTTGCTCTCACTGTCCACTTAGTAATATGAATACCGTACTGATCTGTTGGGGAAAGCTAACAAAATCATGCATGTGAATCACATACTAGTGGGGGTGAAACTTAACTTTAAGTCATTTGTCATGATAGAAACCAAGAAAAGCTTCAGGGGTGTGGGTCACCGTATACATCTCTAAACTTTTACCTTTCAACCTAGCTTCTTGTGAGAAATGGAAATGTAATATATTTGATATTGTTAGTAACCATGATCATTATAATCATCACGTTTGGTGTTACCTTAAAACTGAACAGATTAGCCAATAGTTATAGGCTACATGACCTGCTGGTATGATATAATTAATCGTTTGTTCTTCCTTCTGTAGTTGTTATCCTTCCAGCAAAAAGTCTACAACTTCTTCCAGTCTCACAGAGAGAATTAACAGTTCTGTGGGAAAGGCCAGAAGAAATGGAGAGCCCTATACTCACCTATAAATTGATTCTTCGTGACCACTCGGGGAAATGCCAAGGGAACATTGAGGTACATTATCACACTTAATTACTAGCAATTTGATGTGAATGCCAGCAATACCTGCTTATTCCTTCAACTCCCCATTCCTCCATAGGATTTAATTATTATAATGTACAATATTAAGCAGGGGAATACCGTCAAATAATCCCCGAGACGAAGTCGAGGTGATTATTCAACAATATTCACCAAACCTGAGGTGAATAATAATTGTAATAGTATAATTTTAGAGCTGAACAACAGAGAAAATCATAGCATTTTAGTAACAGTTATTAATTAACATATTATTTAACATTTTATATAAACTGCGTGGAGCGGTTTATATAGCATCATCTAAGGAACCACTCGACCAATCAGATTGCTGGAAACTCTTTGCTCAGCTCTGAAATTATACTAAAGAAAAATATCAATTGGAGGATCATTAGTTGATCCAATACAAAATTCTCCCAACTTGCATTATAAGGATTTATGGCAGACAGTAAGGAGAATTGCTAACTTTAATTAGGATCTTTTAAAGTCAGAGGGTTAAGCAGATTAAGACCTTGTAAGCTTTAAGTTTTTTTGACACTTGGAATTTTTTTACGCATGTAATTGCAAGATCAGACATTCAAACCTCTCTTTTTTCATTGATGTACTTCATAAGATGAAAAGTTAATAACTTTTCACCTTAGCTTCATTCTTCTCCTGACGAAACTTTTTTACAAGCTTATAAACATGTCTTGACATTAGCTAGTGTGATTGTTTATATGCACATCCACATTGTTGACCAGATTAGGTTTTACATACATGTTTACAATGTTACTCTACTTTATTTATACACCCCCACAGCTCTCTGTGATCTCTTGCACCCTAACTGCTCTTTAAATCAATTTTTAACGTTTCAATTGAGTATACTTAGCTTTGTGTGTAACATGTGCCCTTTTACATACTGTTTTTATTTTTCAAAGGATGTGGATGACCAGGTTCAAGGGAATCAGACGAGAAATACATATAGCTTTACTAATTTAATGCCATGGTCGAGCTATTCAGTGATTGTCTGTTCGTTCCTGCTGGGGGGAAACTTAGTAAATGAGACAACATGCACCTGTGGTGACCACCGCCATCAACCTAAAGGGCCAGTCTTCAACAAGACATTACCTGAAGGTAATAAGTTGTTATTAAGGTTTAGGACATTTATTTATTGCCAATAAAATTATATACACAGCTAGGGAAAACTAGTATGTGGTTTTGTACAAAGTTTTCTGCTCCTTGCCCCCCAGAAAAAAAGGTATTATTATTAAAGATCCTAAATTGTAATCATCCTGACAATAAAGGTCTGCTTGGTAAAGACTCAGCCAGAGTGATGCAAACAGTTGTAATAACTAAGACATATTAAGAAATGAATTATAATAAAAACCAACATATAAGAACCGTGTAGGTTTTTTCAAGTCAGCCTCCATAGATTATTATACAAATGGTGTTAACTGTGAAATTTAGGGCTACCTATAGGTTCTTAATCAGGTTTTTAGCTTATGTTTAAAAAAATAAGCAACTTGCAATTGTAGTCATGGGTGTAAGTGGGATATCCTGTGTTGGACAGAACAAAAAGTGGACCCCCCTTCTGGACCCCCCTTACTAGATTAAGATAGGATGAAAACAATAAAAAACTGAGGTGACTAAGGAGGTCGTCATCAAAGTGGTATTTTCTGCTACAAACATTTGCCTGAATCTTCAAAAAGTGCTACTAGAAATGTTAATTCTTCTGTGTGCTATTGTGGGGCCATTTTGTTTATAAGTTAGAGTGGGGACCTCGGCACAAGGCTACAAAACTTCTGGTGTTTCCTCCGATCGGCCGCTCCAATCAGATTTTGTCCACCATTTTGATTACATCATCATCTTTGGCTACCACCACTGACCAGAAAAATTGTGGTCATCTATACACGGAGCTCCATGGTTGGACAGAGCTGAATAATAAAATGCCATGTCAGAGGGTATGTGGTCAACAAAGTGGGCTCAAGTGTCCTGGGTCTAAAATTTAGTGAAATTAGCAGAAAATAATAAGGACTGACCTTTAAAACCAAGGAACTATGTTTTCATCAAAGGCATTTTCCTATTTCCAGGGGTTTAAAGGACAAAATTAATGTTTGAAAATTTTTAGGGGGGTGTACCAAGTTTTTGGAGGTTGTTCTGTAAAAGGAAAGCGGCAAGGAAAAAGCACCTCCAAGCAACAGAATAGGAAATCAACCATGCGAATGACTCAAAATCTGTGTTTCTGCAGCAAAACCTATTGCAAGTGTATACGTTATTCATGCAGCTCTGTCCTATGGTGGAATGTTGAAGAGCTCATTAAAATTAATTTTTCGTGCTACTGCATGCTTTATGTAGAAGGTTTTTGAAAAATAACAGCTATAATTTCTTCATCACTTATTAAGCTTTATACTGCGAAATGACTCTGTGTGATGCAAATATCGTGGTATTAAGCATGCAATAGGCAAAAAAATATGGCTTCTGCAAAAATCTGTGTAATGTTCTTGGCAAGACAATGTCATGATTGTTTATTTGATGGCTTCAGGAGTGCCTAGATTGCATTCAAAATTGCGCAAAAATCACACGCCTACCTTCCACATTCCACCATACAGCTCTGTGTAGACAGAGCTGAATAATGTACACACGTGCTAGATTTTGCCTTGGAAACACGGATTTTGAGTCGTTGAATGATTTCCTATCCTGTTGCTTCAAGGTGTGATTTTCCTTGCCGCTTAATTTTCTTTTACCAAACAACCTCCAAGAACTTGGTACACCCCCTGAAAATGTTAAAAAATTAATTTTCTCCTTAAAACCTCTGGAAATAGGAAAATGCCTTCGACAAAAACAGAGTTCCTTAGTATTAAAAGTCATCCCTTACTATTTTCTGCTAATATGGCTAAATTTTAGACCTAGGACACTCTAGCCCGCATTGTTAACTGCAACCCACTGACGTAGCATTTCATTATTCAGCTCTGTCCTCCATGTATGGATGACCAAAATTTTTTTGGTCAGTGGTGGTAGCTAAGGACATGAGATGATGTAATCAAAATGGCGGACAAAATCTGATGGGAGCAGCTGATCAGAGGAAACACTGGAAGTTTTGAAGCCTTGTGCCCAGGTCCCCACTCTAACTTATAAACAAAATGGCACCCACCATAGCACACGGGAGAATTAACATTCCTAGCAGCACTTTTTGAATATTCAGGCTTTTTCATGCTAATGTTTTATAGCATGAAATGCCACTTTGATGATGACCTCCTAAGTCGCACCAGGTATTTATTGTTTTTATCCTTTCTTAATCTAGTTTAAGGGGGGGTCTGGAAGGAGGGTCCACTTTTTGTACCATCCCATACCTCACTGTATGTCAGCTGTATGGTGCCTTGGTAATTAACTTGTTCACAATGTTAGATATATTGCACAGGGACGGATGTGTTGACAGTACACTATAATTATATTGTGTCTTCAATGGTATAACTATTTGTGTTCTGACTAGTTCTTGCTCCCCTTTTTGTATAGCATATGATGTACTGTGCATGTACTGTACACACTATTATTTGAAAAAACTCTAAATTTGAAAAATAAAAACCTGTATTGAGATTTTAGCCCAGATTGGTTATGTAAAGGGTGCTTAACTGGGAAATTTTAGTCTAACAGTTTCTTTTAAAATTTTAGGTTCTGAATTATATGTCAAGGGTTTTTATTGTACTGTGTCAGTGGTGCTGAGGGCATCCTTAGTTAGCCAGGAATATGGCCCAGTTTTCTATGTATTTTGATATACAAGCAGTGACATTTAATTGATATGTGAAATAGTGATAACTCTGATAGAAATAATTGATTGTTTTAATCAATGACAATAAGAAATTATTCTTTTTAAAATCATGATGATAACAGTGACCAGGTTACCATAATTATAATAACAGTGACGACATTATGATCAGGGTTAATAAGTGGAGGACACATGCATTTGATTTAATTGTTGTCCATTAACTCCTAACTGTAATTCTTATAAAGGCTGATAGTTTCTAAAGAAAGTGTTTGGGGCTGCGTCGGTGGGGTTAATGAAATAATTTGAATATATGGAGTGAAGGGCTAACGCTCGAAACGTCAGCTTTTATAATCGTAACGGTGGCCAATTTACCATTTCAACTTTGTTCATATATTCAAATTATTTTATAATTCTTATAACTCTCTTAACCTCCCAGACCCATTAAACTATCTTTATCTTAAAACTTAATAATTACTATCATTTACCTCCCAGAACCAACTGAACGTCCAGATATACAGCCATGTCAGGCACAATGCAGCGAGACAAACTTTACTGTCACGTTAACATGGAAGGTAAAAATAATTAATATAATTAACATACATTCAAATAATTAGACCATCAAAAATTAATACTCAATGTAGAAATGTTCCAGCGGGGGGGGGGAATCTCCTAGTTCTCAATTTTCTTAAAGTGTTTGAAATGATTTGCCCTTATCACAAATTTTGTGCAGCTTGTAGTGATTATAACATAGATAAGCAAAAACACATCATTGGCAGTCCTTGCATGATCAGGGAAAATTAATGTGGATATATCTCACAATCCTTCAACCATTTTCACAATCACACCGCGTTGGTTAAATTTCAACCCTCAATCACTTCAGTGACCATGTAAGCCCAGATGAAGATGGGCAAATTATTAGGTGATAAACCCCATTTGATAACAAAAGTGAAATATTTCCCACTTGTCCGACACATTGAGAGTCTTCCTTTAAATTTAAAGTTTTATATGCAATTCAGATGAGTATTTTGCTTTAGTCAAAGCAGTCAAGAGACTGACTTGTTTGTTGAAATTCATTTTTGATAAAAAGATGTTGATTAACACTTTGTTTGTTGTTAACTGCAAAAGATGTAGTTTAAAGGATGATGAGACAGGCAATAGCATTCATTTCACTTGTTAATGTCCTTGGACAGTAAATGTCCTTGGACAGGAAATGTGCACTGAAGCTATGGCTCCCCACATTCTGTTATCCTTGCAAGCTGTACTCATAGAACACTTTTCACTAATTGAAATAACAGTGTCTATAGACAGATATCCGCACAAGCACATTTTATTTTCAAGCTTGATGGAGCCTCTATGTCAAATGAAGAAGTTCAGTTAAAGCATCAAGAGGCTAAGCATGCGATATAATTATTACTACATGGCTTGCATGTTTTATTGCTTTCATCTTAATTCTTATGACATAGGCAGGGAACATGTTTATATGGAATGGTATTCCTGAAAAGTCTGTCATCAGAATATACCAAAGAAATTCTTCATCCCAAAGCTTAGAGGAAATGTACCAAAACACATCACATAATATTGGGAATCTCATAAAGACAGTCCATGTTCCTCTGGAGCCTAATTACAATGGGTCGTTGATGAGATATTCTGTCAGCAATCTCAACAGCAAACAGACTTACTTCTCTAAGGTGCAGTTGTGTTCAAATGGAGGTTGTGGCCCCCCAAGTGCAATGGCAGTACTAAGCTGCAATTATTGCGAATTGTTGGGACCTTTATCAACAGGTAATGGCCATAAGAACTAGTCAACCTGTGTAAGGTGCAGGAGCATAATACACCAAAGATTCATTATTTCATCTCCTTTTGAACTTAAAATAAATATGCTCCATATATTGAGTATAATAATAAAAGTCTCAATTGTGCAATTTCACCTTGACAGTTAACCTTGACTGACCACTTCCAAAAACATTCAGCAGCTTACAAAAGGGGGAAAAATTCATTTTTGTCTTGATGGAAAATGTTTTTATGGATCTCGAACATATATAATTATAATTTTCATTAAAGAAATAAGACAAGCAATAGCATTAAGTCTGGATAATTGAAAAATTCAGATATACAAGGTCCAGATAATCAAGGTTTGACTGTGCAACTATGACTTTGACAGGGTTACTGTAGCTAGCAGCATGTAGGTGAGAAAAAAAGAAATAACTATCTTGGGATGCTTTTAAGGAGTAAAAAACCCCTTGGTAGAGCAGAAAAGTATTGTGTGATGTGAACTTTGTATTAATTGAGTAAGTCTTTATTTTTTGGTCATTTTTTTGTTGTGACAATTATATACAGTGTGCAAATTCATTAAATGAGAGGCAACCACTGGTCCTGTAGGGAGCCATAAGGTGTTTCTTTGAGGCTTTTGGTGTGGTCATGTATTAGGGTTTTTATTCTGGGAATTAATTACTAATTAATAAATTTGGTGTGTCACATTGCATATGTCTTTTTTCTAAATTAAATTTATTATCATTGATAATGGTTATGCAATCAATTTACTTTTACTAATCAGCCTTAATGCTAATAATAACTCGCATCGACTGTACACTGGAATTAAGTTTTTCTCATTTCTGGATATATACAGACATTTATAAATTTACAATCAAAAGTGCTCAGGCAAAATTCCATTTTTGAGAATTGACACTTTTAAGGTCAATGGCAAGTCACTAGACAGAGTAAAATGCAGTTCACTTTTAGAGCTTGAAATTAACTTTCCTTTAAAGGCTGATAGTTTCGAAAGAAAATGTTTGGGGCTGCGTCGGTGGGAGTAACGAAATAATTTGGATATATCAACAAAGTTGAAATGGTAAATTGGCCACCGTATTAATGATTACAAAAGCTGACGTTTCGAGCGTTAGCCCTTTGTCGGAGCGAATAGAGGAATTGTGGGTTGTCTGCTACTTTATTGGTGGGAGCATAGCAACGAGAAAAACATGAATAAATTAGTGGAATGAAAAGCATTGGTTGATCCCTGTGGGATTTAGACTGCCGGTTTGAAAGATGAGCTTTTGTTCAAGATTTTTACGACTTTCCGTGCCACCTAAGTGCAAGGAAAGACCGCAGATTGCCATATGTTGCTTAGAATGATTAGGTGAATTAAAATGTCTAGCGACTGGTTTCGATGTGTCCTTGTCATTCCTTTCCACGTCTCGAAGAACACCTTCATGCAGTCTAAATCCCACAGGGATCAACGAATGCTTTTCATTCCACTAATTTATTCATGTTTTTCTCGTTGCCATGCTCCCACCAATAAAGTAGCACACAACCCACAATTCCTCTATTCGCTCCGACAAAGGGCTAACGCTCGAAAC